AATTAATGAGTTAACAATAGTTAAAATAATAAGAGATAAGATAATAATAATAGTAATATTATTTGATTAATAAATTAATAATAATAATAATAAAACTATAAATCAGTAGTAATAATATATATATATATATATATATAATGGTTATAGATAACAAATTATAATATAAATTTTGATAAAATAATTTTTTGCGATATATGTGAGATATAAGTGCTATTGGAAAATAATTTTGATGATAAATTAAGTGCTATTGTAATACTCTAGATTATTTATAATAAAATAATATTAATATGTATATATATATATATATATATATATATATATATATAAATATAGATGATAAATTATGATTAATTGATTTATTAATTGATTGATGATTTATGTATTAATGTTTGATTAGTAATGTTTGATTGATAATTTGATTAGATATGATGAGTCAATCATGAGTCAGCCTTGAGTTAGCAAATAAGTTAGCTGTATTATGAGCCATAAGAAATTAAAAATAAATAATGTATGAAGAAAAAGGAAATAAATGCACGAAACACATATCCGAGTACAAAACTTCAACTATAAATAGAGGCCTAGTCTAACCAAACCAATTCACTCTTCAACATTTCTCATCTACTACTGTATCTCTTCACACTCCAAAATGTTTATTTTAATTATTTTCAATTTTTATATTTTTCTGATTATCAACCGGTTCTCTGCGCCAAATTTTTTCCTATAGAAGTTAGCGAAAACGGAGACAAGTAATCCTAAACCCTAAGTTTTTTTTAGATTATATTTTATGTGAAATTTGGTATGTGTGTCCTAATCCTTTAGGTTTAATAAATTAATTTTATAAGATATTTTGTTAACCTTTAGGAAATAATATATTAGTTGTATATGAAATTTCTTATATACAATCCTAACCTTTAGTTAATCGTAGGGTAATTACATATGAATTTTATTAGAAATTTTATTGGGTTTTAACCCCGAGAATTATGATTCAAATTTTCGAAAAATTATGATTATGGTATTTTTTTTGGAAGATTAATTATGTGCCACATATGTGTGATACAGATGCTATTGAATAATTGTGAAAATTATGATACCTTGGAAAATTATGATAATTGATATGATGAGTGGATTTGGGCTTTCTGTGATAGATGTTGGATTTTGAGTTATGATATTCTTAAATAAATTAGAAAAACTATGATGATGGATAATCGATATGATAGATGTTTAATTGATATAATTTGGACCTTAATTTTTATACATGTTGGAAAATTACAGAGATTTGAAAAATTATTATGCTCTTGAGCAACAATGATAATACTTAAAGAATAAATATTCCAAATATGGTAATTTAGATAAGATTGAATTTTTCCTGATTGTGTGTGATTGTAATAAATTTAATAGTGGGAGGATAACTTTGGGGTGGTACCTCCCAAAGTGATGAACACAACTTTTGGGCTTTATGCCTCCGATGTGAAACTGATGTGAAAAAGATTGTATCTGTTCTTTTCAAAGTGGTGTCTAGTAGGGTTTTCCAGGATACTAGTAGTAACTTTGAGAAGAGGTGTGCACACTAGGAAGATGTGAATTGATTATGGCCAATGTGATTTGTTTGTGACTGACAGGGTTTCCCGGGTCACAGGGTAGACTGACAGGGTTCTCCGGGTCTACCATGGTTCTCTTCCCACTTAAATAATTTAATAATGATAACTGATAAGTCAAAATAGTTTGATTTAAATATTTTTATTTGTTGAAATATTATATTATTATTTGAATTAAATTGCCATTTGATTTTATTCTATTTTATCTTATTTCATTATATTTTATTTTATAATTGTATTTGAATTTATTTATTTTGATTATGATTACCAGCTTTGCTGACTGTTTATGTTTGTTTGACTGCAATGATCCTTTCAGGGGGAGCAAACACTCAGTGAAACAGGTTCTAAAGAATCGGGTTAGCAGTGAGCAGTGAGGATGACTAAGCATGCTTTTCTGGCTAGCTCTAGGATTTAAAGATGTGTTTTTATAAGCTTTTAAATTTTAATTATTTCTTGACTTTAGTTTTAGTTTTGTTTTAATGTAATAAAGTCTAGCCTTGCGCTTGACAATAGTACAAGTGCGATGGTAACACTACCCAAATTTGATTATTTTGAACTTCCGCTGTTATTTATAAAATTATTGAATTTATTTATGCTATTATAAATTGTTAGAATTTGGGGTGTTACAAAAAGGTTCAACAATTTTTATTTCACTAGAAGGAAATGATACAAGATGATGTTTTGCAAATTGACAGACATCACAATTAAAAGACTCAACAGACTGCGACACCAACAAAGACGAAAACATAGACTTAAGTAAACTAAAAGAAGGATGACCCAAGCACTTGTGATGAAGCCAAATAAGAGAATCTGAAGTAGAATGACGAGTCATCAAAGTTTGATCCCTGGTACTTTCTGCAGCAAAGTCTGGAACCAGATAATACAACCCACCCTGTTCCTTAGCAACTCCAATCGTTTTCCTCGTGGTGAGATCATGAAAAATACAATGAGTAGGGAAAAAAGTTACAGTGCAATTTAAATCTGTAGTAAGCTTATGAGTAGAAAGGAGATTGGTAGAAAGTTGAGAAACATGGAGAGCATTCTTGAGACATAAGGAGGGTTGGATTTTAATGTTACCAGAACCTGCAACTATGTGATCCATCAGCTACGACTATAGTACGGATACCAAAAGTAGGATTATAAGAAAGAAAAAGGTCATTGTAGCAAGTCATATGATCAGTAGCACCAGAGTCCATAATCCATGAAGTTTTGAAATCAATACAAGAAGCGATAAAAGAATAAGTGCATGAGTTCTTACCAGTCATAGCCAAAGTACCAGTACAAGAAGGCTTATTGAGAGATTCAAATATAGACCTAAGTCGTTTCAATTCCTCACGATGAATAGTAATAAACTCACCAGGCCAGGCATCTGTGAGGTCTCATTCACAGGAGGAATATCTGAAGGGGCCAAGAAAGATTGACCATGTGAGGGTGGCTTACCAAGATTCTCCAAAACCTGTTGCCTCCCATAAAGATGGTAGCAAACCTCTTTTGTGTGACCCGATCTTTTACAATAATTGTACCAATGCCCCTCTTTGTTGGGCTTAAAGGAAGATGACCCCTAAGGTTACTTAAAGAAAGGAGACCCCTGAGGTGGCTTGACAGAGATTATATCAGAGACAGAAGTTGTTGAAGTAGTGACTTTAGATGAGATCATGACAGATCCTTCAAACAACTTGGTATCCATCATGACACTCCTACGACTTTCTTCACCCTTGACAGTATGGAAAAATTCAGAAAGAGAAGGCAATTTTTCCTTACCAAGGATTTGAACCCTCTGAATTGAGGCCACAAAGAAAGTCAAAGATCCGATTTCGTTCAACAGAAGAAGCCAAAGTGGCTGCATCTTTGCTGCACTCTATCTTCAAACTCTGATACTGATGTAGCTCAGTCCATAATCCATTCAGATTGCCATAATACTCTGTTACAGAGAAAGAGCCTTGTTTGGTAGATAAAATCTTATTCCTCAAATTATAACAGGTGGCGGAATCTTGTTTCATTGATAGGTCTGATGAAGAACATTCCAGATCTCAAGAGTAGTAGGTAAGAACATGCAGTGTTGACTAACCTCAGGAGTCATAGAGTTCCATAGCCACATCATAATAAGAGAGTCTTCGTCATCCCAATCAGCAAATTTTGGATTTGCTTTGGCAGTAACATGTCCTTCAAGATGAGCAATTTTACGACGCCCTTTGAGAATCGTACGAACCAGCTGAGACCTCTGCAAATAATTTTTTCCATCAAGACGATAATTCTGATGGAGAGCCATAGAGGGTGTAATAGATGGTTGATTGATCAGTTCATCTTTAACGTTAGACATAAAGTTCGCTGAAAAACTGTCTGAGCAGAATAGTAAAGGTCCAACGTCGCCGAAATAGTAACAAGGAGACCGGAACAGTAACAAAGAGTAGGAAAACGATGTGGGAAAGTTGCAACGGAGTCAAAACCACAAGATAATCACAGATCCAAACTCAGAAGAAGAAGGCGAGTTGGTCTGTACTAGTCACGCGTGAAGGGGGTGTCTCACGTGCCTTTGCAGATCCGCGTATGTTCCACACGCGTGAGGGAGCGTCAGAGGGAATCTTGAGGTGGGTCTTGGACAGAAGAGGTCGCCTCATCGTGGCGATCATAATTGTGGGTGGATCGCCGGAAACTCGCTGAGGACGATGGACAATAGTGGTGTTTCAATGATAACGGTGATCAGAGCATCAAATGGTGATCCTCTCGATCCAAAAGGTCCTCGGAAATATTTTCTGGTGGCGGCTAATGGCAACGAGAGACAAAATATAAGGATTCCACTTTAAAGGCGGTACATGTGGAAGCAGAGCCCTTAGAATCGAGAGCTCTTATACCAAATTGAAAGAAATATTTGTATATTATTGAATTGTATAATATATGTACAAGAGTTCTCTATTTAAAGAGACTAAAAGACCTAATGGACTAAGCCCAAATACATTTCTAGAGTATTCTAACTATTACAAAATAATAATAAAATAATTCTAATATTTACATTATGTTACAATGTCAATATAGCATGAAATAAAACTCTAGGCAATATGTAACAACTTTTCACCAAAGGGGCGTTTAGTTGAGGAGAAATTTTTTGAATACTAGAGAAATGTAATTATTAGGAAAATGGTTGGAAAGTGAGTTTGGTAGGAAAATGTAAAAAAAGTTGTTTGGTTACGCGAAATTAGATGGTAAATTGATTAAAGTTTTGTAAGTGGGTATGTTAGAAGTGGGTATTGTCAAATACCATGTTAGAAGTGGGTATGTTGAACAGTGTTTTTCATCTATTTTTTCACACAATTATGAAATGTTGGGGAACCAAGTTAGCTAGGAAAATTTTGTAAATTTTTTTACCAAACATGGACAACACAAAAACCCAATCTCATATGTCTAGGTATCCTCACAAAAAGCTCCAACCAAACACCACCAGATATTGAGTTATCTTGATACGTTAAGTGTTCCAAAATACTAATGGCAAGGGAAACTCATTACCCGTAGTGAAGATTAACTTCAGAAGCCTTGTATGATACAAGTGTTCCAAAAAAAGTAGTAAAAATAAAAAGGTTAAAATCAAAAGTCCGGCTTCATGCCATCAAGTGTTGCGAGATACGGGTGGTTTATAGTTCTCCGCAAAAGCTGTTTTGAAACCTTCCCATTTGTCATTCAACTTCTCCCTCTCAGACAGGGCAGCATCGTATGAGGATTTAGATTTCTCAATCGCAGACATTAGTTCTTTCCTTTCTGATATCCGATTCTTGGCCTCATTGAGCAGTTTCTTCCTTTCAAAGTCACATCTTTCCAGGGTCTCCATCCACTTGGCTTTTTTCAACTCGACAGTCTTCTCTTGTTCAACAAGAATTCTAATATTTTCATTCAGCATTTTAGCCTGTCTGTCGAGTCTTTCTGTTTCAAACTCACATTGACTCATTTCTTTGTACACTAATTCGTGCCGTTTCTTGACATCTCTCAAATGCTGCTCAAGTTCATCTTTCTGTTGCAAACGAATAGTGTGATCCACGACTACTTTTTGAGTCAAGGTAAAGTCCTTGAACAGATCCTTAATAGAGGATGGCATGCTTTCAACAAGCTTAGTAACATTTGGAGAAACTTTTTCGCCTGATGCCTGCTCTATGCATTCCAAAGACATACGTAATTGTCGCTGTAATTCCACGTCATCTTGAATGGACTCAAGCGAATTTTTCAATAGGCAATCAATATTATGCAAAGCAACATCGCTTGTAGAAGGGGTTGCTACTGCCGAGGACTTTCCACTAATTTCCAACAGGATGCTGTCTAGCTCAGCAAAGAGGGCCTTATCTAATCCTTCTTGACCTTCATGTTTGTCAACATCCATTGGTACATTCTCTTTTTCCTCAACAATTATCAGATCATGGGAGTCAACTCCTTGTAGATTTTGATTTTCTTCTGATTGCTTGGCCTCTTCAATATTATTTGGCCAATCAGAGTTATTTTCACTTGATTTGTCAGTAGAAGCATTTTCACTTTCTTTGTCAATTGTCACCACAGGTAGATGCATTCCTTCTTTTATTTTGACCTACACAATGTAATAATCATATTGACTAAATGACTTGGTTGAAATAGTGCTGAGATGCGTTGAGGACATGTAAAATTGTTCATATTTTTTAGTTTTACTTAAATTTTAAAGTGTTATCTTGAAGATTAGGCATCAATTTAGGTGAGTCTTAACTACGAAGCCTTGAAAAGGAAATCTTAATTAAATCAAATTTCAATATTAATAGCTTAGAGTCTTAGTCAAGAGTAAAGGAGTAAGAGACATGTAAATAGCTCCTAGTAATTGGGACCTGTTATTGGAGATCGATAATAATCTTATCTAATGGCACATCTCTCGGAGTACTAACAGAGAACTAGAGTTGAGCCTAACCACGTATCTGGCAAAGCCCGGAACCATATACATATGGGCCCATGATGCATTAGCCTGAATCTACACACCTAGCTAGGGAAGATGAGTCATTATCGAAGGAGCTGAACATAGTATAAGAAGACAACTAGAGTGCTTTAAGGGAGAGCATTAATCAAGACAAGAAGAGCACGGGTCTCAGAGAATTTTGGCAATCATACTCTATTCTTTTATTTACAAGGATTGATTCATGATATTTTGTATCTTTTTACATAAGATAACTTCTCTCCTGCTCTCTCACTTCGATTTTCGCACCTCATCTTTTTTTTTTCTTTTTTGTAATGGTGGAACCCATCTATTTTCTCTCTACAACATAAGATAATTATCTTATGTAAAAGAAGAATAATAAAACCCTATTTTGTATATCTTTTATATTCTACAAAGTCCTAGGAATTAGGTGAAGGATCAAAAGTTGAAATTGAAGAAATAAGCTAAATCTTTTGACCAGTAATGGGAATTGTGAGTGTTATGGACCCTATAAGAGACCCATTGATTGACAGGCCCAACAAGGGACAATCTAAGATTTAAGGAATTTATAATTACGGAAGGATATCCATCAAGGATACCAACCCTAATACAACAACATAACAGATGGGCTTGAGCCATCATCAGAGGCACTAAAGGTCCAGAATCTACTACCCACAGGTAAACCCTATAAGTAAGAAGTAAACCCTACAGGTACGTTACGCTCTCACTATTACTGTTATGTTGTCACTGTGCGCACGCACACCCCCCCTTTGGCAAAGCCGTTATTGTTTTATTGTGTACAGTGATCTGCTTGACTCAAGGGTATCTCTTCCATAAATACCTTAGAGAGAGCACTAGATCCAAGATTAACATACTAATCCATTGGGCTAGACATCTCTGTCTCCAAGACAGAACACTGGCGCCGCCTGTGGGAAACGACCAAGTTCGATAACCCCACTAATATGACTAGAGATGACAGTTCGTACAAGGAGCAATAGCAAGCAGCCACAGCCTCCAAATCAGCTGCTAGATCCAGTTCTGGAGGAGATGAACCAACCGAAAAACGAGGTGGACTATGATGCGGTCCATGTCAGCGAGGATGTATCAGACATAACCTCTACGCCAACCCCCCGCAACCGAGTTGCAGATCCAGCTCTGAATAACCCTCCTCCTCAAAACCCTGCGGACATTGCTGCCTGCGTTGCACAGGCTGCAGATCCTTATTCCCGCCTTGCTCAAAACGTGTTCGCCGCAATCTTGCGACGGATGGAAGATATGGAAAATCGTCCCTCCTCCTCCGGTAGACTGGCTGCTTTAACCCGGTTCTTACCCAAGTCGGTAAAAAATGCCCTCCCATTCTTCAAGTTGCTAAAAAAAGAAGCTGTGCAGGGATGGAACTCAGAATGCGAATCCGCGTTCAATAAAATAAAGAAATGTTTGGCAACCCCACCAGTATTGTCCAAGCCAGAACCAGGAGACACCCTGATTTTATACTTGGTTATTGGAGAAGAAGCAATAAGTGTTGTGCTAGTCAAAGAAACAAGTAAAGGCCATGAGCCGATTTACTTTGTTAGTAGGGTCTTGCAGGGACCCGAGTTGAGGTACCAGAAGCTGGAAAAAGTTTCGTTCGCCTTGCTCATCACAGCAAGAAGACTACGACCATATTTTCAGGGACATTAGATAGTGGTTAGAACTAATCAACCCATATGACAAGTCCTGCACAAGCCAGATCTAGCTGGAAGGATGACCAATTGGGCAATAGAACTCTCTGAGTACGACATAACATATGTGTTAAATAACAAGAAAAGAGAGGAACATTGAAATAATCTGTGTGTATTAATCTGGTGAGAGATGTAGAATATATAGACAAACTAATAGGCTAAGCCCAAACCTAATATAATTAGACCTAATACAAAAAGTCTAATGAAATAAGGAAACCCTAATTACAATATAATTCTAACACTCCCCCTCAAGCTGGAGCGTATAGGACATATGCACCAAGCTTGTGACATATAAACTCTATTCGAGGCCCCTTAAAAGATTTTGTAAACACATCTGCTAATTGCTCATTAGAGGGTACAAAACTAGTTTTAATTTCACCAGCAAGAACCTTTTCTCGAACAAAGTGACAATCTATTTCTATATGCTTGGTTCTTTCATGAAACACTGGATTTGATGAAATGTGTAGAGCTGCTTGATTATCACAAATGAGTGTCGCCTGTCCAGTGTCTCCAAACTTAAGCTCTTTGAGAAGCTGTTTAAGTCAGATGAGCTCGCAAGTAGTAGTCGCCATAGAACGTTATTCTGCTTCAGCACTTGATCTGGCAACCACACTTTGTTTCTTACTTTTTCAGGAAATCAAGTTGCTTCCAACAAAGACACAATACCCAGAAGTAGATCTCCTATCAGCTGGACAACCAGCCCAATCAGCATCACAGTACCCAACAACTTTATCATAACCTTTATCTTCATATTCAAGGCCTTTTCCTGGAGATGCCTTGATATACTTAAGAATACGAATGACTACATTCCAATGTTCTTGACATGGAGAATTGAGAAATTGACTGACAACACTCACTGCAAAGGAAATATCAGGCCGAGTGACTGTGAGGTAGTTCAATTTTCCAACCAATCTTCTATACTGCTCAGGATCTGAAAAGGGCTCCCCCTGATTTGGTAGAAGCTTGATACTTGGATCCATAGGAGTATCAACAGACTTTGAATTCAACAAAGCAGTTTCTTCAAGAATATCCAGAGCATATTTCTTCTGAGATATCACAACACCAGCTTTAGACTGGGCCACCTCGATTCCCAAGAAGTATCGAAGTTTCCTAAGATCCTTAGTCTGAAAATGATGACATAAATGTTGTTTCAATCGAGTGATCCCATGTCGATCACTGCCTGTGATGACAATATCATCCACATATACCACCAGATAAATAGATCCAGAAGCAGAATGACGATAAAAGAGAGAATGATCAGATGCACTTCGAGTCATGCCAAGTTGTTGAACAACACTGCTAAATTTACCAAACCAAGCTCTTGGAGATTGTTTGAGGCCATAAAGAGACTTACGAAGACGACAAACAAGACCTGACTCCCCCTGAGCAACAAATCTAAGAGGTTGCTCCATATAAATTTCTTCCTCAAGATCACCATGAAGAAAAGCATTCTTGATATCCAGTTGATAGAAAGGCCAATGGCTAATAGCAGTCATGGCAATAAAAAGGCGAACAGTAGACATTTTCGCCACAGGAGAAAAAATATCAATAAAATCCAAGCCTAAAGACCTGAGTGAAACCTTTCGCCACCAAGCGAGCTTTAAGACGATCCACTTGACCATCAGGTCCAACCTTCACAGTATAAATCCATCTGCAACCAACCACAGATTTTCCAGAAGGAAGAGGCACCAGGTCCCATGTTCCATTATGATCAAGAGCACTTATTTCATCAATCATAGCTTGTCTCCATCCCGAATGTGAAAGTGCATCACCTGTGGTCTTAGGAACAGATACAGAGGACAAAGAGGAAAGGCAAGCAAAATATGATGGAGAAAGACGATGATAACTAATATTGACTGTATACTTGGCCGGAGGGCGAGTATCACGAGTACCCTTACGAAAAGCAATGGGAAGGTCACTATCCGAAGGTGGGACCGAAGCCGTGGGAGGAGATGCAGTTGAATGTGAGTCCACAGATACATCTGACGAACTATACTCGATCTCATCAGCAGAAGAGGTGATAGAAGGAGAGTCAGAAACATGGACGGATAAAGACAGAAGGTAAAGAAGGTCACCTGGGAAGGACGACTGTACAGAATCAGTATCCACAGGAGTAGTAGAGGTTCCAAAAAAAGGAACTGATTCAAAAAAGGAGACATCCGCCGAGATAAAGTATCGACGTAAAGTGGGAGAGTAGCAACGGTAACCCTTCTGAGACCGAGGATAACCCAGAAAAACACATTTATGAGACTTGGGAGCTAATTTATCCAAACCTGGACCAAGATAATGAACAAAACACGTATAACCAAACACATGTGGAGTAAAAGGATATAAAACTTGATGGAGAAATAAAATAGAGTGAGGTACCTTATGATTGAGAACAGATGATGGCATGCGATTAATGAGATAGCATGCAGTAAGTATAGCATCACCCCAGAATGTGTATGGAACATTACCATCAATCAAAAAGGCACGAGTGATTTCAACCAGATGGCGATTCTTGCGCTCGGCTACACCATTTTGTTGAGGTGTATAAGGGCAAGATGTTTGATGAAAAATGCCATGAGATGAAAAGAATTGTTGAAATTGATGAGATAAGTACTCACATGCATTATCACTACGAAAAGTACGAATAGGAATACCAAATTGAGTTTTTATTTCATTATAAAATAACTGAAAAATAGAAAACAACTCAGATCGTTTTTTCATTAAAAATAACCAAGTACATCTGGAATAATCATCAATAAAAGTAACAAAGTACTTAAAACCCAAAGTAGAAGAATGACTACTTGTTCCCCAAACATCAGAGTGGACCACAGAAAAAGGAGAAACAGCTTGACGGCTAAGACGACTCGGAAACGTACTACGAGTATGTATCCCAAACTGATAAGACTCACAATTTAAAGTAGAAAGAGACGATAAATGGGG